GGACCGCTGCCTCACTCGTCGGGCGCTGCTGCATACAACATGCCCTGGCCCCGCCAAGGCCCCGTCACCAACTCGCGAGGCCAGCCGGCGCCGGCATGGGTCTCCCTTGTGCCCTTCATTCGACGTCTTGTCATCACGGGAATGGACAGTCCAGGCATCATGCACGGCTTCTTTGGCGAGGACTGGAGGAAGGGAGTCGGCCCAATGCACGAGTGTGAGCGTCGCAACTACCTTTTCGCAGCCAAGAGCGTGGGTTGGGCAAAGGTCAAGTGCCAGTACGACATGTCGCCACACGAGTCAGTACCTTTCCTGAAGCCATTGCAGGAGGTCCAGCTGGCCGAGATCGAGGGGGCCGAAAAGACGTGGAGTCAGTGGCTCGCAATGGAGGACTGGATGGTGGGCCCACGGGCACCGGATGCGGACGAACAGCTACAGGATGCCCGTCGCCGTCCATCTTGAAGCTTGGCGTGGAGTATGGCGTTGTCTAGTGCACGGTGGTCGTCAGCATCACGACCGTAATTTGCGTCGCACCAAGACGTGTGTGGATTTATTTGGGTTGGCGAGGGCTGGGGTTAGCGGTCAGTCTTCAGCGATCAGCACTTCGCGCCATCGCTGCGCAATGGTTGTACATGTCCCACGACATGGGCGAGAACGCTTCTATCATCCGGTAGTAATGTAACTATTTCAATACCATCGATAATACGCATCAGAGTTGACGGCTTGTGCTCCCCGCACCATCATCTCTTCACCTTTGATTTTAGACAAGAAATTCCGGCCATAGAATATAATTTGGAGAGCTTGGCGTGGAATTCCTTTTGCTGACCGGACGCGTTGGAAGGTTCGCGGGTTCTGTGCGCTGTCCGCATCTGTGCATCGTGCCTGCCAAGGAACATCGGCCAACCTCAGCTAAGCACGACCACCTTTGTTCCTCGCCGAACCACATCCATATTCTTTTTCTTGTCAGCTACCAGCCCAACGTCCAGGGCACATTCTTAAACTACATGGACTATGGAGTCCATGGTCAAGGAATGGACGACTTTCTTGGACAGGTGCCTCGAGCGCCGCGTCCAACCTGACCTGTTCGCTGCAGCCGTCGCGCAGCTGCACGCGAAGTCTCCACTGCCTGGCCGGAAGCTTGCTGCCCTTGTACTTCGACCACGCGTTGCAGGATCTAACAATGTCGACCCGCGCTCCATCGTCTTCCTCGAGCAGCTACTAGCGCTGAAGAAGGTCGATGCTTCTGATGTTCTCACGCTGACGTTCTTGTACTCCAAGGACCGGCTTCCGGTCAAGACAGGCGACGAGAAACCGGCCAAGGAGCCGCAATGGGACAATCCACCAGAACTCGAGGAAATTGTCTTCCACCGCTTGCACAAGGCTTTTGCTGCCGAAGAACGGCCTATCAACAATACCGAAGGCTTGCGCACGCTTATTGTTGTAACAAGATGGATGCAGGCGATGGTCACTTCACATACCAGTGATACCATGATCCAGGCCATGGCTGGTATCCAACAACCACAACAACACTCTATCAATGTTCGGGAAGGGCTGGCAATGCTTGTGATTGGCATAATAGAAAACTCAAGAATTCTGCGGATACTGAACAATCCCAAGGGGAAAGGTAAGCGCACCTCTAATCGTTCTGATGTTTGTACGATGTTTTCGAACGGGCTTGCTCAAGAATAACAAGTACATTACTCACATGCATTAGATATACGCAAACGTTTTATCCAGTCATTCTCTTCATTTATCCCATTTCTCTCCAACAACTCGGGCGGATCGCATCAGTCGTTGCAACTAGCTGAAAGACTTGAGCTCTCGCAAAAACGACACGACTTCTATGAGAAGCTTCCCAACATGAACGGAGAAGGAAACAGGAACGCCGGCCTCGAAGTCGCTGCACTCCAGCTCGATGCCGTGATGGAGCTTCCACAGGTGAATACACGAGTCGGTCTCTACGTATTTCTGAACGCCTTGGTACGTCTTTCAGCTGACGATGTGGCACGTCACTAATATTCCAAGCTTGTCGCGCGGCCTCTTACTGACGATTTCATCATTATCAATTATCTCCATTCGCGATACAAGGTAGGCCAGAATCATTTGATCGCAAAGAAATGCTCATCTCCGTCAGTTGGAAGCACAAAACATGGCCACGGACTTGATCACCGCCGCTTTCGATGTCCTTGCCAACGCCATGTATCGCAGTGAACCAACGCAGACAATGTTTCCCCTTAAATCATTCCTGATCAACAAAGTACCCTTACTCCTCGTGCAAATCTCCGGGTCGATATTTCCGATGACATCAGAAATGTGCATCACACAAGCACTCAGTCACGTGGATCCCCATGCTTTCCCGTCTTTCTCGCAGGGATTCGACGATATCATGGGAAGCAACAACTCCCTCTCTGATGTCAAGCAAGACTTCCTTAATGCCTGCGCGCTCCATGGGCTCATTCCGGCTGGTGCTGTAGAGCGGTTGCTTGGCGAAGCTCCTATGCAAGGTCCTCCATCGAAGAGATACGAGAGGAAGGAGTTACTAAGCCAGTGCAAGTCGAACTTCGACAAAGTTAGCACATACATTGACGAGCTTGAGAGCCTGGATGGAAATGCCGGGGCCATCGTCGCTGCTGTTACAGATGTAAGACATGACACAAAGAAATGCGAGAGGGACCTGCTGACGTGATGATAGTTCATAGCACATCTCTGCGAAACACAAACAACCATGTACTTGAAGCAACTGTCCTCGTTGATATTCAGGAAACCGCAGGCAATGGACGTCATGCTTCAATTCACTTCGCCGGCAAGCATCCTGCGGCCACTATGCCAATTCCTCGATGAGTGGCACTATGACAGCGATCAAGGTTAGCTTCATTAAATATTGCAAAGATTTGTGACTAACGAATGTAGGTGAATACCAACCGGTCTACGACGAGTTTGGCGCAATACTAGTCCTCGTTATGGCCTTCGTATATCGCTATGATCTTACATATCACGACGTTGGCATCCGACATGATACATTTATCGCGAAGCTTATGAAACGCGGCCACCATAGCATGCTCCCCGACGAGTTGAGCGAAGAACAGGGCAAGCATCTCGGCAACTGGCTCAAAGGGCTCTATGATGCCGACAAGGAAGGGCTGAGCAATGAGGTATTTGCATCCTGTCGGCCACAGGATTTCTATCTTATAGTTCCGACACTGTTCAGGCAGACTGTTGTTGCATGCTCGACAGGCGTACTGTCATTTGAGTCGGTCAAAGGTGGCTTGGAGTGTAAGCTCACCCCAATGTTCTCGTCCAATGAAACACCACTGACTTGTTTTCAGATCTCGGAGAGACTTTCCTATTACCATCTTTGATTGAAGGTCTCACGTGGATGGCCTCCTACGCGCTTCTTCAAACACACAAGGACCTCGACTCAATGATACGCATTTTCAATGAAATCATACTGACGACTCCTTCTTCTGGCGATGCACAAGCTATGCATTCGAATATAATAGCGATGGTAGCTAGTCGCCTCGAGAAATGCTTCCGTACGCTACAGCGGCGCGAGCCAAATCGCACGACACTTGAGCCTTTCATCCAGGCAATCAAAGTGCATGCACACTACGAACGTTCCATATACGCTAGCTTGAAGGAAGTGTATCAGTGGACAAATGCACCCAACAGCACCCTGAACACGTCTCTACGGCATACCATACAACAATTATCGCAATGGGCTTCGACTTCTTCCTTACAGCCGAACCCACCTGGCTATACACATCGCCAAATCTACGCATCGCTCAAGATGCTTGGTGCCACCAGGACGCTACGCGCAATTATAGATGAGGTAAAAGCGCAGACAGATGCTGGCAACGGAGCCGCTGCGCTCGACATTGGCGTGTCTATCATCTGCGCCCCGACCGTTGAAGACAGTCCGATTACGATAGACTGGATGGGAAGCTCGATACCAGCGCCGCCTCAGCAACGGACCCGCATGAATCTCCGCGAGATGCTCAAGCAGGAATTCGAGAGCGCAGCCAATTTGGTCGCGACAGATCCTCTGACTGCAGAGACGATAGTGCGTCTGCACCGCCGAGTAGAAGCGCACTTTGCCTCCCTCAGCGAAGCCGGACTCCAAGCACCACCCATCAACATACCGAGCGTCAACATTGGGGACATGCAATCGCAAAGTATATCCGATGATCTGAACCGAGCTATCGACGACGCAGCAGCCGCGACGGTAGTAGACGACATTTCCAACATGGATAACAAAGCACTGCAACGCAGTATGGACGAACTCACTGGTGCTGAAGGCTTGGACCTATCAAACATCGGCATGGGCAATGGCGATGCAGGCGCAGGCGATATGAGTACAGACCTGGGCAGCTTGCCTGGTATGGATCTGGGTGACATGGGTAGTATGGGCATGGATATGGATATGGACATGAACATGGATATGGGTGGTGGCGGAGGAGATGACGACTGGGGTCTGGATTTCGATAACATGTAGAGTGTGTTTGAGGAGGCTTCTTCTTCATGGAGTGCATACCTAGGCACGTAGACTATTCTTCCAAAGGCAATGCTTGGGATAAGCGCTTAGGATGGATTGGATCGGGATGGTTGGTTATAAGGAATTATTACTATCGTATTTCAAGGCGTCTTGCAATCAAGTACAATACAAGCGGAGCAACCATCATGTAAATGTATGTATGACTGTACCGAGGTAACCCTACTAACCCCAAACCGGCAAGAAGTACGGTAGAACCGGGGGCGGGGGTGGTCCTACCTGCATAAACTCCGGAAGCCATTGCCCCACCATGTTTCCCGACGGTGACGACGGTCCGACAGTCAGCTTGTAAACAACACACGAATGAACTCTCGATACTCTATCCTAAGCCTTTCCTACTAGAAGCTTATCTTTTTTCTCTACTCCAAATTTACAACAGGAACCACATCGATCGTATTCTACATCTCCACCAGGCCTACCCAACGCACACAGAGCAGACAGCAAAGCAACAAACATGCCGTACGATCTCAAAGGCAGGAATGTACTTATTACCGGTGGATCAGCGTACGTACATCGTGTCTTCCTGAATGCCTTCCTCCATACATTTCACTCTATACCCACTATGTCGTCTTCCAAGTCTCAACGCTTACTAACGCCCCCCATTCAGCGGTCTCGGCGAACTCCTCAGCACGACCTTTGCGAGTGAAGGCGCCAATGTGGCGATTAACTACTTCAACCGTATCGAGCCCGCGCAGAAGGTGCAAAAAGCATGTCAAGAGCATGGGGTCAAGGCCGTTGTTATCAAAGCGGTGAGTCTGCTTGTTTACCTAGGTAGGGTCGGTGTCAGGTCAGGGATTGGCGGATTGAGTTGGAAGTTGGGATCTGATGAAGAGGGAGAGGAAGTGGGTAGCAAGCAGGAACATGTGCTAATGGGAGATAGGATATGACGTCGACGGATGAGGCGAGGAGAGCTGTCAAGGAGACGATTGAACAGCTGGGAGGGCTGGATATTATCATCGCAAACGCTGGCTGGACACGCTTCTCCGAGTGGAAAGATCTCGACTCCATGAGCGAAGAAGAGTGGGATAAGTGTTGGAATGCAAACGTCAAGGTCCCCAAGGCACTGCTGTCTGAGGCGAGGAGTACGTTCGATGCGAATCCAGATGGTGGACTGATGATCACTACGGGCAGTATTGCGGTATGTTCTCAATTTCTCTTGTCTTGACACAACTACGGACTATGGGTTTAATGACTGAGTACTGATACCGAATCATAGGGTGTCAGCCAAGGCGGCTCCAGCATGCCCTACGCCGTCACCAAAGCAGCCCAATTTCAACTCGTCAAATGCCTTGCCGCCACCGTCGGGCCCAAGATCCGCGTCAACACCGTTCTCCCGGGCTTACTGTTGACCGAATGGGTAAGGATGCAGAAGCTATCCAGACGTGCCATGCTGACAGTTACGCAGGGCCTCAAGTATAGCAAAGAGAAGATCGAGCAGCTCAAGAATGCTGCAGCGCTGAAGGATGTAACTCACATGGAAGACTGTGCTTCGGCGTATGTCATGTTGGCGAAGAATACTAGCATGACTGGTATGCGCATTCAGGTTGACGCTGGACTCAACATCCAGGGCGCGTAAGGATATGGTACAAGAGCACCTAGTATTTAGGATATCCTTTCGGTCTAGCAATTAATTCGATAACTGTCATTGCCTGTAAAAACGTCGCTCACTGCCTCGGTGACGATTGGTCGCGGAAAAGCAAGACCTCGGCCGTGGGTGTTGGGTGACCCCACGGCGCTAGTTCAAGCTGCAGGGCACCTCACGTCAATTCCCCGCGCCCGAACCTCCGCATCTCCGCAGAGCTGCTGGAAATCAACACCATGACTCCCCAAACTTCATAGCCCGAAACACGCCATGTCTTCTTCTTTGAGTACCGTTTCTCGAGCAGCCCCGCGTCTTCCGCGACGGTGTATGCGATGCGGCGAGCGGAGCGCCAACTGCCAGCCTGCTCGGCGGCGCTGGATGAGCAGCGTGCGAGACGCGCCCGCTACGAGACCCAAGACTGCCATCTTCTTCCCTGGTATTTCTTCGAGATTTCAAATACTTCATGATTCTAGTATGCTAAGCAATACCAGGCCAGGGCGTACAACGCGTGGGCATGTGCACACCATGGCTGCAAGCCTTCCCCCAGACCGCGAAACCCATCCTCGAGGAGATTGACGAAACCCTTCAACTCCCCCTTACCAAGACAATCGAGTCTGGCACGAATGCCGAGCTAACACGAACCGAGAACGCGCAACCGGCCATCATGGCGACCTCGATCCTGATACTGCGGATACTGGAGAAGGAGTTTGGCTTCAAGACCAGCGAGCGCGTCGACATCACACTGGGCCACTCGCTAGGCGAATTCGCAGCCCTAGTAGCAGGAGGCTACCTCACCTTCCACGACGCCCTAAAGATGGTGCGGCGACGAGCCGAAGTAATGAGCAAATGCAGCCAAGAAGCCGTCGCAGAGGAAGGCGGCGAGTTCGGCATGGTCGCCCTCGTCTGCGAATCCGAGGAGCACATGCAGTCCCTCATCAACGGCATCCACGAGTTCCTCGCCCTAGGCTCCAAAGCCGATTCCCACGACCACCTCCCCGCCGTCCAGCAAGTCGCCATCGCAAACCTCAACTCGAAGAACCAAATCGTCCTCAGCGGCAGCATTACACGCATCAGCACGCTCCTGACCAACCTGCGCCAGTTCGGCGGCCATGACCCCCGCCACGTCCGTCTAAAATCCGACGCCCCCTTCCACAGCCTCCTCATGAAACCCGCGGCCGAAACAATGAAACGCATCCTGCACAAGCCCACCGAAGACGGCCGCGATATCATAACATGGCCGGGCATCATGCCCTGCATCTCAAATGTGTCCGGCAAGCCCTTCCAAGACAAAGAGCAGTTGAAAGACTTGTTAGCGCGGAGTTGTGTGGAGACGGTGCAGTGGTGGAAGAGCGTCAAATATCTGCACGAGCAAGAGAGGATTATGCGATATGTGGGTATTGGACCCGGGAAGGTGGGCAGGAATCTGGTGGGCAAGGAGGTGGGCATGAAGGGAGCTGTTAAGGGGGGTGGGGTTTGGGGGATTACGAGTCCGAAGGAGATGGAGGATGTGGTTAGGGCGTTGGATGATACGGAGGATGTGGATGGGATTGAGGTTGAGTGATGGGGAAGTGTAAAGGTTAAAGTACAAGGTTACCGTGAAGACGATTATACGAGGAAGGGGGATGAAGAAGGGAATTGTTGAGGTCAAAAGCGTACAGATATACCCCAGTGTAGCGACTTTAGTGTTAATGGAAAGTGTTGAACAAGGTGCGTTTTCCGTTCAGTCCAGATCTGCCCAGCCATGTCTTGCTTAATATGCCCACCGTCGCTCCTTCCTCCACTAGTCACTCACATCCTACAAGGGTTCTTCCACCCACAACACCGCAACCTCTTACACGCACGAACACGTACAATGTTGACATTGCAGGAACAACCCAGCCCACATCCTAGAAAACCAGGCAGCGGGGTTAGACGCGACAACGAGAAAAGGCACGTATTACCTTTGCATACTTTATGCAGTCAGAAAGCTATCGCAATCACACGGTATACCAACACACGATCTCGATGACCAGCCCGAACCGAGACCTGGCCCCAGTTTGAGTCAGAGGCGCACTCTATTCGCGGTGATCACTTCCGCAAGATCAGTCGACCCACGCCGACGAACTTCCCGGTTATGGATGTTTATACAAGTGCTGTAGCTAATCGGAGCCACGCGATATGGATAACAGACACGATGCCGAACATCTCTCTCACGATGGCGAAAGCAATGGTTAAGAGGGGTCCTCTTGCAGGAACGCGAAAGTTGGATGAACACCAAAACTTCCTAGCTCTGCGACGCACTACAACAACGTTATAAAATAAAACAAAATAGAGCAAGGGATGTAATAAAAGTCTACGAGTATCTCTACCTTTTTAAAATTTTATTAAAGTGCGTAGTCGTGGTTGTAGAGGCTACCTACTATTAGCTTATTTCCAACTTTCGCGTTCCTGCAAGAGGGGGTCGTAGCTAATCGGGCCGCTCAGCATTGCCGATTCACGCGTCGTGTCAGATCTGGAGATCCCTGGTCGCGTCCATCAACACCTTCTCTGCAACCTCAGAGTTTAGTGCGACGCTAGGGGGTGTAATTAGGACTGTATCAGCTCCGGTACCTGCCCGACCATCTTTCCTCTTGGAACATGAACATCCTCCTCGCACTGCCCGGTGTATCGGTCGATTCATTGGCACTTTCAGCACTACTTTCGCCGCATCCTCCGGCAGTTCCCAGCCAACATGCTACCCGATAACATCTACAACAGCTATCTCGAATACAAAAAAGACACCAATACGTACATCAACTGGCTCTGCAGCACTGCAACACGTATAGGCTTTCCGCCGCCCTACAAGTCATCGTTAGAATCAACGGCATCAAAATCACAGGCCCGGAAAAAGAAGAAGCTAGAAGAGCGAGAAGTCAGTATTAGCGGACTAATTGCATGTGCGGAGGCAATCGTAGAGAAACCGCCCAGGCAATTCGTCGTTCCTGTATACGCTGCTCAGTGCGCTGCACGGGCTATCAGACAACGGAAGAAGTCATCGCAATGGCATGAGAGTCAGGTTGATGGGTTGGATGGAATTGAGAAGGTAGTGAAAGAAGAAGATAACGCCGGTCATACTTTCTTCACGGAGACGCTGGAGCATACGCTCAATATCTTACGACCGTTTATATGCAACGCGCAACACGCCAACAAGACTGGTGATAAGGCTCAACGACATCGTTCTATGGATGATATTACCAATCGCTTCAGTAGGCTTGAGATTGAGGAGTTGGCTGATCAGGAAGTCGAGAGTGCTGCGGTTGCGGTCGCCGAGAAACCACCAACAACGTCACGGATCAGATACGTTGTCGATAACAGCGAAGAAGAGCGCCAAGTCGCTATGGAATCCCTTCTGCATGATCACTTACGCATCAAACAGGCCATCCGCAAGGCATGGCAAGAATATTTGTTGGACAGAAACCTTGACCTCATCACGACCGCGGCAACAACTCAAGCCGGGTTGCAGATGCTCCGGAGTCTCGTTCACGAGTTCACGATGCAGTTCCCCGAACTCAAGTCGATGGAAACATTCTGCTCGGACTATCTTCGTAAACGCAAAGACATCCAATCATGTTCCGACAAAGCTATCCCGGTAGATACGAGCGACGCGAATGTCCAGATCCCAAAACACGTGGCCGAATTCAGCTGCCTAGACACCTATACCACTATCCGGCATGCGTTGAGTCGTTTCTTCCAGGATGAAAAGTACGGCCGTCGATACCGGGTAATGGAGGCTATGCTTCGAGACGGCTATTTTGACGACTACAAAACGGACATGCCTGCCCTACAACCACTGGTCAACGCCCTGGAAGACGTCTTAGGCATGGATGTCGATGGAATGGGCAGCTTTCAAGATCCTCCCATTATGGACAACTTCACTCAACTCTGGCGAGAGTATCTCCAGACTTTATATTCTGCTCCCAAACCGGAGGGACAAGAAAAGAGGGAACTTCCTGATCTGAGCGTGGAACTGGTCCTCTGTACGGATCTATACCTGAAGGTACAAGAGGTCGTCACACTTGCCGAACCAAACATCATAAGAGACGACTACAAGAACAACTGGGCATACAAGAATTACTATCAGAATGACAGCGACTCTGGTCATATCCTGGAGTTATTAAAAGAATACCCATTCACATCAAATTCAATCCGTAAAACGCTCACCTCTTTCTTCCGCAGCGATGCAGACACAGCAAAGGTTGTAGACTGGCATACCAGGGAAAAGTTTTGGTTTCGACGCGTCAGTATGAAAGAAAAGATAACAGGTATTAGGATAAGTGGAAGAGAAGATTGCGCCGTTGGAGTCTTTCGTTGGGATTGGCCACGATACAACCCGTTTTTAGCTGGCCTGATAGCCTTTGTCGTCGCCCAAGCTGTTGATGAGTTCAATACAGTAACCCAGAACCACAGCGGCAGCCCGGTCGCGACGGCACATCTCTATAACTACCTACGACAGGCTCACAGCGTGATAGCCTCATCCCCCTGCACGCCTGTGTTGGCAAAGGAGTGGCCAGATATGGAGCCTATCTCAAGATCATGGGCGACAAGAGTGTATTCGGTGGCGATCGACCGCGGACTCTGCGACATTGCCTGCAACGTATATTTCTGGCACACGGTCGCTCCCTTTCTAGCCTCGCTCGCAACGCACACAGCGCCAACGACTGGGGAATCAAAACCAAAACCAGACTGCAAAGTCATAACACGCCCATCATAGATGCTCTTTGTGAAGGGGGAACGCAGCGACGAAACTTTCTCAACATCACGAACAAAACCATACAAGAGGTCATTCAGCGTGAGGCAACTCGCCGTGCAGCCACCTCTACAGGACAAAATCAATTTCCCATCAAAACCCTGACCGGATATCTCACAGCTTTTCGCCGCACTCTGCAGTACGAAATACCGCGAATGCATTTCATGCACTCTATACTTGCTATAGAGGCTCACTGGCTTCACAATAAGCTAAAAGACCCCTTGAGAGCTATCTCGGAAGAAAATGGAAATGGCTACACACCGCCCGCGTGGGACAACGAAGACACTATACCCTTACACATTATCTGGCACGAGAGTCGCCATCAAGAGAGAACCAGTAGCTTGAACTACGAAACGAGAAAAGTGAACTCACAGCCGACGTATAGGGCGGCGAGTGTTATAGAGGAGACATTGTTGAGTAGCAACTCAAGGCCAAAAGTACCATCTTTTGGTACGAGAAAGTTTGAGGAGATGGTAAAGTACGTATATCCTACTATCAGTCATTGCGTGTACGCAAAAGACGAAGCTAGTTACTAACCATTACAAAAAGGGAATTCCACTGCATAAACCCCCTCGACACAGAGCAAGAAGAGTTTCACGCTCAACACTGGGCCGAGTGGGTACTAGCCGACGAAGAAGCGGTGCAGAAGTCTGCAGATGAGGTTCTACATCGAGAAGGCACGACAAAACTGTGTCTACCACCTTCGTTCCGTGAACTCACCGCCAGTCCCTCAACCGCTGAAAGCTCGCCCAACCTACCAGACGAAGAGCCCAACACGCAAAACCAGCAGAACGAGATTTCTACACCCGATGCCAACAAAGCTGCCCTCGAAGGAATACTCCGGCTTTTGCGCCAGGCTAGAGCGGACAACGATCAGATGAAGACGCCGGAGTTGGTACATGAAGCTTTTGCTAGGCTGGGGGCGCTGGGAGGGGATCATGTGTTGGCCCCGGAGGATCATCAGGAGATTGTTGAGGCTGCTGAGGAGTTTATGGGGAAGGGTGTGAGTAAAGATGGGCAGGGCCGTGTTTACTATGTGAGGGTTGGACAGGCTGTTCAACAGCCCCACAAGACAGGGTGCTAGTATAGATGTGCAATGACGACGAGGAAAGCGTGCGCGCAGTCAAATGAAGCGTGTTTATCAAGTTGGGACTTAGTGCCAGTCGCTGGTTATTGTACAAAGGGGTTCGGAAATCCTAGGTTTGTAGCACACAGTACGCATGGAAAACACATGCCATGACAAGACGGTAAAAAGTGATCGCAGCGAGTTAGTAGACACATCGAACCCCGTTCGCCCAAATTGCTCCTTGCCTTACATTCTTTGCATTACCATGATCCACATACACACCCATATCAAAGGCCAAGACAGTATCAAGTGAAATTGATAATTTGATCGAATCTGGGACATGGCCCGATGTATATACCCGTAAACCCAACACCAGCACGATCATATAATCTCCTACCCCAAAACCTCCTATCTACCTATTTAAACTCAACAACTCCTCAACATACCTCCTCGCATCAATCCCAATCCCCTCGGCCAACCCCTTGGGTCCCCACCCGGCGGCACTCCCACCCATCCTCTCATTCCTCGACGTACTCCCGCCTCCCATACCAAGCCCACTCCACATGCCACTCGCAAAGCTACTCGAGCTCTTCGCACTATGCGCCGTCGTATCTCTCGCCCTCCTCACCAGAAACGCTTCACGCAGCTCGTTGGAATTGAACTGGCCGGAGCCATGCCCTGAACCGGCGTTCTCGTTGGAAGCATTGTTCTGCGCTGTGTCTTCGTTGGAGACTTGCGAGGGGGGCAGACGCATCCAGACGACCCACCAGCCGCGGGATGTTTTGCATGTGCGTTCTATTTCAGAGAGGTTGCGGCGTGTACCCGCTACCGTAGCGAGAATCTGAGAGTGTACGTTCAGGGCTTCGATTCTGCTCCAGCCGAGCGAGCTCGTGCTGTTGCTGCCCAGGCCTTCGGCGAGGAGAGTGCCTGGGTCGGGGATATTGGGTAGGCTGGAATGCACGGTGTAGGTGCGGGGGTCGTAGACGAGGTCGTAGATGGTTTGTGTGTTGGGGCCGGAGGAGGGGCCTGAGCCGCCGGATGAAGCTTCGGTTGTGTAGTGGTTTGAGACGGCGTGGAGGCGGGCGGCGACGAGGCTGGGGGATGTGCTCTTGTCGAGGGAGCGGTGGAGGGGCGAGAAGAAGTTGTGGATGTCGCGGTAGAAGGATGCGACGCCGAGGGAGTGGGTGCGGTGTTCGAAGAGGAAGGTGTAGACGAAGGGACGGTGCTATGGTGGGTGTTAGTAGGGTAGAGGAGTCTGGAGTTGATGTGTAGACTTACCACGTAGACAACAGGTCGTAACCGTGATAGCTTGTTCTCTGTTGTTGGCTCCATCCTCATGTCTCTCTCGTACTGCGGAGTCGAGTCCGAGTCGCCATCTTCTGTTTTCAGTGAAGCTTCTCGCCTGTCGACCTCCACATGGATGGTCCGCAGCGGTATACGAATGTTCCAGTCGCCCTCCCCGTTCTCGTCGTCGATGTCTAGGTCCTGCAGATCGCCTTTGAGTCCTACAAGGAAATACCCATCGTTCTCTAGACGTATTTGCTGCTTCATCTTCTCCTCTGCTGGATCCACATCAGGCGTAGGATCTATGTAACGCATCGCTGCTGGTGAAGGGGTGCGTTCGCGTGCCGGTGCTGGCGGTGCTGGCATTGGAGCAGCAGATTCCGAGGTTTCGGCACTCTTCTTTCCACCCCATGCTGTCCCATAGCCAAGTGTCATGTATTTCATCCACGTCTCGGTGTCACCCAGAGACGCTAGCATTGGCTTGGACTCAGGCGCAGTAGAGTCGGCTTGGGATTTGTTGTTTTGGACGGCGGCGGAGGCCTTGTCAAGAGAGCTCTCTGCTGCTTTGACAATAGGCGGAGGGATACCCGGTGGTAGGGAGCCATTGCTCGACGGAGGAAAACGCGGCCTTTCTTCTTGTATTGGAGGCGACGGCTCTTCTGGTTCTGGTTCGGGCTTCAGATTTCTCCTTCGCCGTTTCCTGCGATCCGATGTTGGGTTATCTCGTACGCCATAAGCATACTCGCCGTGGGCGTAGATAGTCTCTACCCAGTGAGACAAGTCTCGTAGTGACTTCCGGCTCACAGCCCCCAAACCCGAAAAGACAACGCCATCTGCGGCATGGACGTTCTTTCCGGCCCCGATCCAGGGTTCCAGCTCCGACACTTCGAGTGTCTTCGGGTCTGTGGATGTCTTGGCTTGTTGCAATGGCGATGCTTCCCCGAAGCGGGACACCATGACATCGACGAGGCCTGAAGTTCTTCGTGCGAAGTCCTCTAGTACGTCTCGCTCGCTGCTTCCCCATTCCTCCTCGCCAACACCCATACCCAGCTCGCCACCTGCTGCCAGCTTCATGCCTCCGTATATGTCCACCGCAGGGCTTCCATGTAGTAGCACATCCCAGCTACTCGCAAATCGCGACCAGTACTTGTCGAGTATACTGCAAAACTTCGCACGGCCGTGCTTCGAGAACATGTTCTCGAGCGTTGAACCATGATGTAGCAGGAAAACCGACTGGGCGCGTACGAGTTGCTGGATCAGAAGTGCAGGCGGGCTGACTTCGCGTGACGAGTATTCGATTATGGGCTCGGTGGTGTCGGTGCTCGAGTCGGTTCGTGTGAGGCCGCCGGTAGGGGGGAGTTGGGTGAGATCAATGGACTGTGGTGGTGTTAGTTATAGTCATGCTGAGCACGTGGGCATACATACTGCCAATATCCACCACCCATTTTCCAGTTCGCGTAGAACAATACGCGACTTTTGTGTTTCCACAGAGTCAACTGCTTCGCCATTAGAGAAACTCCTGCTCTTGGTTAGCTGAAGACGCGGAAAGAGCTCGCCTGCATGCGTCCTACTTCGCAAAGCCTACCATGCCCTGAGCTAGCCCGACCTGGCGAAGCTTCTCATTCTCCTGCTCGCGCAACTCTTCCTCCCTCGCTGTATCGCCATCCTTCAGCCTGGAGCGCGTCTTGGCGGCCTTGGAGTAGTAGAAGACAATCTGCTGGTGGAAAGTCTCATCCGATGTTCCGAGCGAGGGATTGTAAATGGCTAGAAAGGAGAGCTGGGCCGGGACGACCTTGGGAACCGCCGTGGAAGACATGTGTGCATTCTGCGAAGTGCCTGGTCGCGCGGCGCTTCTTGTGGATTTGGGTGATGGATGACTACGTCACGCGTGCGGAGGAGACGCGGAGGAGAAGACAACCAGCGAACTTGCCAACGTGCAACCCCAACAACGAGCGGTCGTCGTGGCCTATTTGTATTCCATAGTCAGGCACTGCAGTCCATCGCGATGCGACGGCCGGGCGGCAGGGATCCCTCCGATTGTCGTGGTCGAGATGCCCCACGGGATCACGATCGCAACGTCCAGACCCTGCGGCGCGGCTTTTGTCGCCGAGCTTCCTCACCTCTGAACCATGATCTGGAGGCTGCGCAGCCCCGTCCGCTCCTTGATCGCCACTCCTCCCTGCCGATGCAGCTCGACGTCTGCTCCCGCTCGGACGTCGGAGCCATTGCGGATTCTCTTCTGTGGCTCTGACGCCTTCAGCATCGCGTCACTGCGCGCCGTAGCAGACGCGAAGCGGCATGTCCCGGGCCTCATTGAGAGCATTGATGTCATCCACCGACCAGCGAAGCCCACCGGACGGGGACTGAAGACGCTGAGAGAGGGTAGGAACGTCTGTTAGCTACAACACAACATCAATTGACACGTTACAGTACCCATCAAACACGTAGCTACCGAAGAGCTCAACCTGCCCACCCATGTGATCGATACCTTCACCGGCTGGACTCCACCCACCCCCATACATGTCGTCATCGCCGTATCCTTCGGCCTCCTCGTCCCACCGCGAATCCTCAACTATGCGCAATACGGCGGTCTCAACGTGCATCCCTCGCTGCTCCCCGATCTGCGTGGCCCAGCACCCGTCTCACATGCCATACTGAAGCGGCGGCAGTACACCGGTGTCTCTGTGCAAACACTGCATCCAAGGCATTTCGACCAGGGTACTATCCTTGCCCAAACCCCCATGCCTGGCTACGAGATTGCCCTTCCTTCCGAACCGAGTCCTGAGACGGCTCAGATATTGGAACAACGGCTTGCCGCGGCTGGAGCAGAAATGCTCGTAGATGTCTTGAAGGAAAGGAGATTCGTGCCTCCGCATGAGGATGTTGGATGGTATGCCCACTCCGACGGTCCTATCGACCACGCGCCGAAGATCACCAAGCAAGATCGCTATGTCGACTTCAGAAGACATACCCTGGCAGACGTCATTGCCAAACGCAATGCACTTGGCGACTTGTGGTGTCTACTACCCACCGGTGATCGTTTGATAATCCACGACATCATACCTCTTAATCTGGACGAGTCCCCATTCTCCACGATGGAACCTGGCCTCTATGTCGATTCGCAGACCAAGAACGTGCTCATGTTTAAAGGAGCATGCGGCGAAGTCGGACACATTCTACAGAGTACATTGCAAGGGCACAAGAAAGGTCAGGGAAACGCCAGGTTACTGTCGCTGTTCGGTCCTTCAGCGAATACAAGTGTAGGAGATGATGCTCATACGACCACCTTATACAGAGTTATCTGACAGTTCGCTCTGACCATTTCTCTTTGGCATCCTGAAACTCTTCAATCTCTTTCATCACTCTCACACTTTTCGACACAGTTGCTATTCGGTCTAACACAGCTGCGAAGCCCGCCGAGTCCGAAGTGTCATAGAACAGCTGTCGAGATTTTCCAGTGCTGCTGTCTACTGCCTCGTTCAGCGCTCCCAACAAGGTCAAGACATGCCCGTCTTTATATGCCTCGGTTGCTTTCGTGTCGTTGACGAAGTGAGAGAGCTCATGAGTCCATCGAATCATCTCGTTCTTCAGCTCTTGCCTCTGCTGTTTGCCGTCTGTCGTCGATCGAAAGATGTGCGGTATGCAGGCTTGAAGATCTTGGCTAGTGGGCGTGGCACTACTCAGGAAAGATGGCTTCGAAGCTTTCGCTGGTTGTGTGTGTCGCTGCTTGAAGG